ATACTTGCTGCTATACAAAGTAATGTAATCTGTTTTAGTGCTTGCAAAGTGGGAGGGAGATGGTCATACCAAAGGAAAAAAAAACTAAGACATTCTTGCAACATCAAAAATGTCTTGCAACATCAAGAATTTGATGCATATGGGCAAGATACACAAGAATTTTAGGAGTGAACAGCTGGTTGCATATTATTTTCAATATTTTGTCAGATCACTAGGGACTGGTTTACCTTTATAAGTGCAAATGTCCTTGCTTATTCATTACTGGTTGGAAACATCATAATAAGTGACTCTGTGATTGTAAACAATTTCATGAAAGTGCCAAAACTCTATAGATTTCAGAATTAAAGAGATTTTTATGTTTCCTTATTTATTTAAAAACGCATAATTTACATCAGTGTAATAAGTTGTCTAAGTATTTTCAGAAAAACAGAACTAAAATTGCATAATGCTTTTGTACATCTTTTCATATTTATTTGATTGCTAGTTCAACCTTTACTTGCAATTCATTCTACAGTATTCATTAGAATTAATTACTGATATGTGGAGAAAATATTCACTAAATTGCTTAGAAATTAAATGCAAATTATTATATTAGCATTTATTATACTGTATGTGGTGTTTATTAAATATTGTAAGCTTATTTTATATATACTGTTATATTAGGTCTTATGTCTGTAGATGAAACAGCTACCTGCAATAACTATTTTAAATGTATGGCAGAATGATAATTTCTTAACTGAATACTGAACATTTCATCAGTCAACAGCTATTTTCTACCTAAAATTAATAAATTCAAATAAAATATTTACATTACGTACTTATTAATTTTAAATGTTATTTTGTAATATTCATGACTGTATAAATTTTACCAAAAAAAGTGTTTGATAATGAAACATTGAGATGTTTTAGACGCTGACAAATATCACATATATTTATCCATTTTTAAAATTGCTTTATGCACTATTGGCTTTGAATAAAGTATCTCACATATGCAGTGACTTCTACTAATACATAATAAAGAAATGAGACCCCAAAGAGACTGAAAAATTACAAAACCTTCTGGCAAGAGTACAGGCATTTACTGGGAACAGGAGAACAGTATACAGAACTGTACTTACAATTTTATTCTACATTTTCAGGCACCCCACAAATAATAGGCTTTGAAATAAAAAATGAAATCCTCTGAACAGTAATGCAAAAACACAGCATGTATCCATACACAAACGGAACCAAAAAAATGCAGTTCATCTATGTCAAGTGTATTCCCATTTTTCAGCCTCTTATTTGGAGAGAGCTAATCATCACTCTTATTTCCTTTTTCAATATATTCAAAAATTGTAAATCTTTCACTATCTCCACAATCATTCCATGTATCCTAAATTTAACTTCTGGGTGATAAATTAACTTTAGAACCATATTTAATCAGAATAGCATCAGTTGTATAGCATGTGTAGGGCGAGGCACTTTCCTGCCAAGGACAGCCATTTGGAAAGAGACAATATCATCTGCAGCATCAAGGAAATATTTAGACTGCAGTACATCTCACATTGCCTTTTTGATAACACATGTGTACTTAAAGGGTTTGTAACTGCCATCATGTACTTCAAAACTTTCCTTAAAAGGAGAGAAAACAAACCACTGATGTTTGAGGCTGAGCTTTAGAGTAGGGTGTGTTACAGTTCAGTTTACTCAGTCACCTACAACAAGTTCTACCATGAACGTGAACTTTATGGCCAATGGTAGCCTGCATCACTGAAATACCATCTTGTCTCCAATTTAATTAAAGGATGAACAAAGCCTCTGTGTCTTGGTATTTTCTTTTCCCCACAAACAGCTGCTTAGAAGTTTACAATCATAGCAGTGATCTGCTCATTTCACCATGGTATGTGGAAACTGCTATACTAAGGGAAACAACAGAAGAAATATATAAAACATGGTTAGATTAAGCTTATAAAATCTGGAGGAATCTAATAAGTTTCTCATATCTAAAAGATGTTCAGGATTACTTCATTTGCCCCATGAATCTACACTGGACATCAATGGGTGGGTAAAAGAACCAATTCTAGAATAGTTTTCTCCAGTGTAGATGCTAGATTCAGTAATATATGAGTAGGTATTTGATGCTATTTTAAATAAATCGGAATGTCCTGCTTAGCCTTCACTCGTCAATCCTGCTGCTAAGTGCCTTGACTAGTCTTTCTGCCCTGTGCCATCTCTGCTAGACCTATGTGTATGGTTTAGATATTCTAAGGCATTGCAAATGTCAGTAGAATATTAAAAACATACTTGCATGTAAACATCTAATTTTTGGCCAGTTTAGTTTTGAACCAAAAATTTTGGGGGTAGGCTATATATAGGAAAAAAAAAAGTTATATCCTAAGGGCTTGTAACAATTTTTGGATGTGGTGGGCAAAGGAGGAGGGATACTTAAATATCTTCAACAGCTTAAGGTTTCTTCTGGAGCAACCCCTAAGACATTGATGGCCAAAGCAGAACTTGGTTCATACTTCTGGGTCAGTGAAAGAATCAAGCTGAGCAATCTGAAAAGTTAAAAATCTTTCACAACATAAAAAAAAAAAAAAAAAAAAAACATTCTCTGATTGTCCTAAAAGAACTCAAAGTTCAGTCTTTTGTAGCTCTGGAAGGTGTTATTCCTAGAAATTATGTTCCCCAGTAGAATCTGTAAGTTTTTACGGATGAAAGGGAGTGTGTGTGTGAGACTTAAGAAAATGCCTCATTAAATGGGCAGACATGGAATACAATACAGATGGAAAATTTCAGGCATATTTCTATTTATTACGCTTGTAGAGGAGATATGTAAACTTTGCTGTACTAGGTTATGGAATGTTTTAGTGGCACAGACAACTGCTTCAAAACCTGTTTGAATAACCCATATGAATGTCTCTAATGTTTTCTATACAATAAATTACCTTGGTCTTCACTTAAATTGCAAACAAAAAATCATCCCCAAACCTCAAGAATTTTCATATTAGTTGTAAGGAGTTAGTGTGAAATTTTGTACATCCCTGACTGGTTGGTTTTCACTTCCATGAATATTCATGGAAAGATTGAGAGTAATTTGTTGTTTATTTCCTGCAATCATGTTGAATGCTTTCTAAGTATTAAAATGTGATATACTTCTGGTGCTATAATCATAACATAGAGCCTTTAGTATGGCATTAAGCGAATTTAACTTTTAGTGTTCCTAATGAAATGAAACACATAAGTGGCTATTCTTTTTTGATGGTAACTGGAACTCCTCATAAGGGCAGGGTTCACAGGCATCCCATCTCATTTCACATGCTGCAGTTTAAAGACCTCCTACATGATTTCTGGCAAACAGAAACACTTAGATACAAATAACAATACATCATGGCAGTGTCATACTGGAGTTTGGCTAACTAAACTCTGCAGGTGTGAAAATGGTAACAGTCAGCATACAGGAAATAATTTTGTTATATAATTCACAATGGAATGCAGCATAGCTTCCTATCTTGTCTTTCTGTTCTTCATTTTTTTGCCTTAAGTACCTCATAGGGATGTATGAAAATATTCAGTATATTTGATATGACTGCAAGAGGTTAAAAATTATGATGTGGATAAATAGTATAAAGAATAAATATACAATTATTGAACAAATAAATTTTGTATTCCAACTACAAAATAAAATATTTAATACAAATACCTTAATCCATATAACTCCAGTATAGATATTTAGAAACATACTCTTCAGTTAGAACTGCTAATTGTGGGATGAAATTTCCTAGTATATGTAAGTAGGGATCAGTGAGAAGCCAGGTGTGATAATCTACAGAATACAGATTGTTGTAAATCAGCTGTGTTCAAAAAGCTTAATTCCAATAATTTCGGCATTTTTCAAAGTTCAGTTTAACAGTTTATTTAATAGTTCAATTACTAAGAAGCTAAAAGTTCAATTGACTTGCTTCAAAATATGCACCTGAGAAGTTCTAGTGTAGTCATTCACTCTAGCCTCTGGCTGATGCTCTGTTAATTTCTGTATGAATATTAGTGTGAGGAGAGCTGTTTCAACTTCCTTGTGGTTTCTCAGCTATGGGTAAAAAACTATGCAAAATTAATGGATCAAGAGCCATCAAATAAATAAAAAGTGACTCTGTAGGCAAATGGTTCTGGCATTCTCCTGAAAACACAGAAGATCCTTGATCTTGCTCTTTCCTTTTATAACTTTTTCATTTTTTAAAATAGTGTAGAAAAACAAATAAGCAGTCTTTAGACCAGAGAGTAGATTTCCCATTTCCATAGCCAAGTGAGTTATATTGCCTCCAACTTCATGAATTTCACATTTCGTGCTGATTAGTAGCCTAATTTGAACTAAAAGCATTCTAATCCTTATTAATTTATTTTCTTCCTATGTTAATTTTGCATTTATATTAAACAGTCAGTAAACCACATTTTAGGAAACAGTTTTTTGAAGGACTATTCATGCACATATGCTGAGTAGCAAAAATGTAATAATCTAGAAAGCAATTTCCTGTTTGTTTGGTCTGGAATCACACTCATGCTTGATGTTCATCTAGCCCTGCAACTCACAGCTGCATGGCCACTTAACTCTAAAAAAATGGTAAATTAGACATTATCTTTTTAAGTCAAGAAAGATGGCAAGAATGACTGATGAAATAAATACTTGGGTTCAAATTTCTTCAGGAATAGAAGAATATAGTTTTCAAATTGTGCTGAGTCTGTCTTGGATGGAGATAACTCTCCTCATAAAAACGTGCATGACATTATGTTTTAGATTTGTGACTGAAATTGTCATGATAACACACCAATGTTTTGTTATTATAATTAATATTATGAATATGTGAGACAGTGCTTTCATAGCATCAAGGCTTTCTCAGTTTCTCACACTGCCCCCTTCCAGAAGGGTATTCCATACCATATAACATCATTAGCAAAAAACATTTTTCTTCTGAGTTGGTTGTTGTTCAGAGACTAGTTAGGTATTAGTCTGCTTGTGGGAGGCAGTGATTTATTACGTTTGCATAATTTCGTTCTTGTTTGTTTTTTCCCCCTTTTCTTTCACTTCTTGAATTGTCTTTATCTCAGCCCAAGAATTTCCTCATTGTTACTCATCATCTCCATCCCAAGGTGGGCAGGGGCATGAGGAAGTGTCTGTGTGGGTACCACAACTCAAACTCCTTTTCTTGGTCCACAGAACAAGAGCCCCTGATAAGAGACAAGAGAATGTACTTAGGAGACGATATTGGGGAAAGACAGAACAGAAAAAAGGCCAGCAATAACCTTGTAATGGACTAGTCTTGATGTTTCCACTTATGTTCTTGCTGAAGAATCCAATCACATTAAAGAGAAGAACTGGATTTTGGAAATAACTCTCACAAGTAGCCCTTGTTTAGTGTCAGAGCTTGTAAAATGCTACTTCTGAAGTCCTGAAATGCTCCTAGAAATGTAAATCAGGCTTTAAAATGTCCTATCCACCAAACTTAATTGCACTAATTTCTACTGCTTCCCTGTTTTTGGTTTTTGTTTTTTTTTTTGCCTAATTTGCCATAGTTTCCTTAGTTTTTACTGAGGCTGCTAGAATGTAACAGCTGGTGACATTTGTGTCTGAGTCTATATCCTTGTATTTTTATCAACTAGAGTATTGAGAGTAGCCTAGAGTAACCTAATGATTAATTTCTCAGTCGTATGCATCTAGCACATGAAGTCCAGGATCCAAAGATTAGCCTGAACCAGCTCATGTCTCCATCTGCAAACTGTTAATCGTCCATGAAGTGGAAAGCAAAGAAGTTCATGTTGTATTAAAACACTCTGTTCACTCAGATATCTTGTGATCTTATTTCTGTAGTCTTCATTATTTTTTGTTGGACTAAAAGCAAGGATCTTGATATGAATTCCTAATTATATTAAATATTCAAGATCTCTGATTCTTACCTGTATGTTTAATTTATTTCTCCATTACTCTTAATCAAACTTGTCTTGAGGATCACCACACAACCATTTTGATTTTACTTTGTGTTTCCATTGTGTAGAAGTCAGTGCTTAAGAAACAAAACATAATTCCCAACCTGAAACAAAATGTTTTTAATATTGACTTAACAAAAAACATTTTTATCAATTGCAGAATCATAGCAAAACAAGTTCAGTTGACTTATCTTCCATGTTATTTAGCTATAGTGAACAAATCTCTTTATGTCTTGTATTCTTAACAGTCTGACACAGAGTAACAACAATAGACAATAGAATTAAAATTATGTTGTCTGAACTTTAAATACACAGCAACTGAGCATAAGACACAGCCTCATTTCAATCATACACATAAGAATGTTTAACATTTTTCTTCCCAAACAAAATAAAAATTTGGAGGCAAGATTAATAATTTCTGTGAGGAAACAGATTATAAAACAGCAAAAAAACCCTGAAATGACTCCTGAATTTAATAAAAGGTATGCATTGATTTTCTGAAGGAGACCTCATTTTTAAAAGGAAATCACTTTAAAAAGCCATCATGATTAAGTTATTAATATTAAAGTTCGAGTTACAGTGAGGGTCACTTCATTAACACATAATTCTATATTCTTCTCATAACCAAAAATGATAACCTACATGTAACTAGGTCTGCAGAGCACTTACAATTGATCTATAAAGTGGGGTTGTGCAGGGTTGCCTAAAAAGTGGGGGGTGTGATACACTTTTCTAATGTGTTTCTGGAGCGTTCTGAAAGCACCTCACGTCAACCTAATAAATGAACATCTACAGTGGGATCAAATTACCTAACATGCATCTGGTGAAATTTCAGATAGTATAGGATACCACAGTTATCTTCACAGAACTAGCTGTGAGCCTCAGAGATGCAGTCAGCATTCTAAACAGTACCTAGAAGATCACTCATGATGAGCTCAGATATTTTAAGTTTCATTTCATGCTTATGCTTTTACAGCCAAGTCTCAGCCTTCATGCATATTTTAAAGTGAGCTGATGTACAAAGTATGGCTGAGATGGAGCCAATTTTCTTCACTGCATCCTGTATGGCACTGTGTTTTGGTTGTACTAAACATGCAGGGTCAATAACAGCAGTAGTGTTTTTAAATTGCTGAACAATGTCTGCAGTTTTCCCACTCTGCCTCCTCTACTGAGTAGATTGGGGATGAACAAGAAATTGGGAGGGGACACAAAGTTTTTCACAAATGGATTAAAATAAATGTTCACCTTAAAACTGTGTTTTCCAAAATAAACATCTAGGTTAGTACACTGGATTTTTCCAAATATTTGTTAAGGTATTATCATTTAAAAATAATTGTTTGCCACATCATTATTAATTTATTCCCTGAATCTCACAATTTATTCCTTATAAAGCCAAATGAACCGCTACTACCTGTTCCTTAAAGTAAAGCAGACTCCAGAACAAAAAATGCCAGCACAGACAAATTATTGTCTTTCTGTGCAGAGAGACAGCCAGGAACAAATTGCTATTGTTCAATGACAGCAGAAAGATCATGCAGAAATTTGGCTAGCTGTGTTTAAATGTTGCCTTATGAAATGCTATGAAATAGATTTTATTGTTGAAAAGTATGTGCCTTAGCAACTGAGCTCAGCTTAATAAAATGTTGCATTTGGATTCCTAACAGAATGTAAGAAAAAAGGTCACTGTGGCCTTTACAGGACTGCATTTCACACTTTCAAACCAACAACCTATAATTCAGCCAGGAAGTTTCTCATCAATTAAGACAAGCTGGCTTTCAGAGTCTATCACTGTTGTTAAAAACAAACAAACAAACAAACAAAACCTTTACAATAAATCTTGACAAAATTAGAAATCTGTATAGTGAACTGTCTTGCTCATAACTTTGTAGAACACATGTAAATACATTCACTTGTTATTAAAACAGAATCGACAAACCAAAAGATGAAGTATTGTAAGGAAAAGAGGGATGGCAGGAGCTCAGTGGAAAGGCAAAAAGCCATAAAATTTCAACAAAGAATTTGGACATCCTTCAAGAAAGACATGAAGGCTGCCTTTATCCCAAGGGCAAATAGAAAATAATGAAAGAATTGAAAGAAACTTGACAAAAACGAAGAGGAAATAGTGGACAGTGTTATTTTTAACAACAAAGGGAAGGAAGAGAGAATATGTAAGCACAATAAAGTGCAGACAATAGTATGTTTCAGGAAATGAAGTCTTGATAATCATACTGGTAAAATGGCTAAAATAGTAGTGATGTGTCTGGGCTATCCTGTATCCTTTATCCTACAGCTGAAAGACAAACACATAGGAAACCAACTTGTAGCTGGACTAACTAGAAAGGTATACAGGTTCTCAAAGTACATATATGCACAGAATCTGACTGTTTCCAAAGCTAGGATGCTGGATAGGATCAGGCACTGTGAAAATGAGACTTCTTCCAGTTACTGGAAGAAGTTATCTAACTTTTCCTGAGTAGGTGGTCTTTAGCAGAGTCCCATCACAATGGATTGCACATTAGTCTGTGTATTAATGCTGAACTGTAAACTTTTACCTGATTTATCATTCCATATCTTGGTAAAGCTTCATGCATTGTCACTGTTTTCTCAAAAGAAGGGCTTGTTTTCCTGATGCCTTTCTGCCTGTCCTTTGTAAGGATTCTATGTATGTCCATCCCTGTAATCCCAGTGAAGTCATAGCACTCCAACAATTCCCAGAAATCTAGTTCCTAATTCCATGTTCCCTATATGTTGTGCATGAGGACACAGGCATTTCAGAGAGGAATGCAGTGGTGATGAGCTCCCAGAAAATGTGTGAGAGCTTCTGCCATCATGCTGCCCTCTCATCGCTACCTTATTTATGCAGATACACTTAGCTAGCTCCCTTCAGCCTTATTTTGTTCAATAAAAAGTTACTCTTCTCCACACTACCCTGTGACCCTGTGTTTCCAATACTGTCCACCACTTCCCCTCTACTGTATGGATTGTCATCTCCTACCTGTATCCTTCCTACTTGAAAGCTGTCCTCCCTGTGTGAGTGGGCCTGTTGGAAAAATTGCTTTGTTCCTTCTTGGCCAGGTGGATCCTGCCTCTTCCTAGCAGTCCTCAAAGGATCCCCAAGTACACAGTGCTGTATGTAATCACTGCAATATGAAATCTTCTTGTATATCTAATATTGAGATACAAATCAGTAAGTCTAATAAAATAGATTTAGGCTGTGTTATTTACCTCTGAGTTTTCACTAGAACTCAGAATACAGGTTTGTTTATGGATAATTATTAAAAAGGAACTGATAGCAAAACACACCAGAGGAAACATCTGGCTGTTGTGCTTTACTATTACAGTATTGATTTAATTGAAGATGCAATAGTGCTGAAGTCAAAATTAGTTCATATTAAAGACTGAATCAACAGGTAAATACGTTCAAGCTATGAAATGATCAAATTAATCATGAAAATAATCAAATAAAAGGCCGAGCTCAACACTAATATGAACTATTTTCTGTCTCTCTTTTAAAAAATAATAAAGAAAGGAACAAGTGTTTTTGCAGGCTTTCGTGTCATAGTAACCTAATTCTTATTTTAGTCAATGCAGTAGATATCTGAAACTGGTCATAGACATACTTAAAATGTAAATGCCAATTCCTTTCTTCAACACATACCATGAAAATCTGTTGCATAAAATAACTACTAAAAAGGAAATTATGAGGAAGTAAGAAAACAGAGTGCTAATAAAGAACAATTATTGGGAAAAATTTCTCTAACCAGAACAGCAAATCATGAAGGAAATTTGGAGATAATTATATAAAAAACTGAAATATAGTTTTTCAGAAATTTCTCTGAAGAAAGAGTCAAATATATGCAACATTTTTAATGATAAGATTTAAATTTGTTGGCATAAAATCTTGAGTTCTCAGTAAGTCAGTGATGACTGTATCCAAGACTTTTAGCTTGATTTATCAGAAAATATATAGCAAGTGTTAAATAATTCTATATATTCCCAATATAATCTACAGGCAACAATTTTAATTGATAAGCACCTAGAGATAAAATTGAATTCTTAAGTAAACAGAAGAACATTAATATTTAATTGAGCACTATATCTCAGTCTTATAAGTTTTGCTCTATCAGGGATATTGTGTCAGAAAAATCAGTGGAGTATTCGTATTCAGGTGTAAATACAGAATTATCATTGATAGCAATGGAAGTGAACTTGATAGTAAAAAAATGCAGGGTTGCTCCAAATCCAATTAATTAAAGGAAAAATAAGGAACAGTAACCTAGAATAACAAAGGATACTTCATCCATATGATTTCTACTTTAGTCTTTAAGTGTAAAATCTATTTCAGAGTATTTGTTTGGCCTATATGCCTAAACTGATTTTAGAGATAAGCATCTCCTATTAAAAAAAACCAAAAAAACCAAAACAACAAACCAAAAACAACTAACCAAACAAAAAAAGGCAGCGCATTAATTTCTATTTCAACATTTCCCATTAACACTCTGTTAGCACTTAAATTCAGCTGAGTATAGAACATTATTTAGTTCTGGTAGTCAATGGTCATGAAATTAATTCTCTGACCCTCAAATGTTTGGTCCTGGAATAACTTCAAATGACTTTTCTGTTGAATATCACTGAATTGATGCCTGTCTAAACCAAATATTAGAAGTTATTGTAGGAATGCCTCCTAACTGGCTCTTCCATTACCTCAGAATTCGAAAAAAATCTGAGGGGGAAAAACCCCCACAATATTGAAGTGCATGAGCAGTAGCATTACCATCGATCAAGATCTAGGATTTTCCTGATTCCCTATCAGCAAAGTGGCTCATTAACGAACTACAGAAAATTATTCCTCTATGCACAGTTTCAGCTTCACCAATAAGGATAAAAAACAGGACCATTATATGTAAGTGTTTCCTTTGCACATCTCACAAGTGTTCTGAAGTGAGACTGCACATTCTGATTACTTTAAGGCAGGTCTAAACCCCAACTCCAACTTCATTTACAAGTTCTTTCTAAGCTGAAAACTTTCAGTTTTCCCCCTGTTACTCCATCAAAACCCTAGTTCAGAATACTCGGAAACTTCAGAGGATAGAGAGCTATATCTGGATACTAAATAACCTGACATTGTTCATAGATTTGGAATTTCCCAATGACTATCTTTAGAGAACATATGATTGATAAATGGGAAGCACTAAATCTTCCCAGACAGGTCTTATGGCATCAAGACTCATGTATGATTCTCCACATTTCAGCAATATAATCCCCTCTTCCCATTAAATTCTGTGTAAGCCCAGATGTTTACTATCTGAATATCCTAATACATGAGTCATTCATATTCAGTTGCCTAATCTAATCTATCCAGTCTCGTCTGACATGCATGTGTATTTGAGCATAAGTACAAGTTCAAAAAAGAAGATACAGGATCTGCAAGAGACTTATATTCTAAGATGCCAGCTGGAAGAAAAGTTTGAAAAATGGCACAAAATATTTATGTTTAGGAATTTTATCCAGTGCAGATGATGTAATTCAGCCTAAATGTTACTACAAAAAAAAATGTTCTCCATGTGTAGGTACCTTTATGTGAAAAAGTTTAGCTAAATTTTTGGTTCAGCTTGAATCAGAATTTAACATTTCTATTTGATCACTTGATTGTTCTCTGAAATCCATTCTTTGTACTGATAAAATCTGTAACTAGGAGACTGAGTCCAAAGGAGAATCACCAAAGGAGTCTGAAAATTCAGTACTTCCAGATTAGTAATGTTTGCAAATTCAAAAATTAATTAGGTATCAAAGGCAAACCTAAGCACTTTGTACTGAAATTAAATATTCAACATATTTTTAACTCGAGAATCATCTCTATATGACCAGACATTTGCAAATTATCTGTGGTCTTAATTTTTCTTAACAATATCCTTTCTTTGTGAAAATCAAAGGAAGTTGCAATTTCACTTAAGATCATGCTTTTTCAAGAAGTCTGTCTACCCAACTAATCAATCCTTACAAACAGCTAATTCTGATGCAGGTGGGAGGATAATGACTTTAGTGACTTGCCAAGAAAATCATCAGATATAACTTCATCACAAGCTCATTGTTCAGCTCCACAAAGTGAAAACCTTCTGGATTTTTCCTTAATGGAGATAAATGACTCTTTAGAAACCTCCGGACATACTTTATTCTATCAGTTACTACACAAAAGCTTTGAATTTAATTGAAACTAAAGATTGATTACTTATGTCCTATTCTGTACCGTCATTATATAAATTTTAGTGCATGTTAATGGAGTTTGTTAAGATTACAGTGCTACCAAATTCTTGGCAAAAGCAAACAATTGTTATGTGTTTATTTGGAAATTATATATATTATTATATAATTATATATAACAAAGAAATTATATGCTAATATATTATATACAGATTAAGTATGTATTATATTCATAGAATATATATTTAGAAATTCTATATAGTAAATAATTTGGGGGATTTTTTGTAAAATGAGTTCAAAATCTGTGGCATAATCAGAACTATATTAATTTCCAACTCTTAAGAGCTTTTGCTACCTGTTGCTGGGATCTGCTGTTTGTTGCTTTGTGGCTTTTGGTTCAGAAGTAAACAGTTGTTCATGAAGTTTAGTAGTTTAGTGTCACTTTTGTGTGAAAGTAGATGTTTTGTTAGAAAGCTGAAAAGATAATATGGTAAGAAACTTGCAAAGAATTGTAAGAGAAAAATCTTCTAAAATGATTCATATATATATATATATATATATATATATATATATATATATATATACAAAGAAAAGCAAGCATATATTAAACTTGAAACAATATTACACTTGGATAATTAAACAAGGTACAGGATAATTACCCTTTTATCAAGAATCAAGAGGAACATAGGTCTTTCAGTATCAGTAGATACAACCAATCATAGAAGCTGATTAGGGCACTGTGTGCCTGAGTACCAATGACTGAAAAGAATTCAAGAAAATACTGATGAGAAATAAGACCTGTAAAGTCAAAATTTAAGAAACCCTGCTGACTATTTATAATATTATCAAGTAAATTTTCTATAGTACTCTGATTATTCAGGAGTGAAATATTTAACAGAAATGTGAAATTTGTGAAATCAGAAAAATAATCAAAACAGAAAGCTAAGAAAGTACTGCAGTTTGTACTTTATGTATTCCGATTTCAAAACGTGTCTTTTCATTTATAAAATATTTACAACGCATGCAATGTCCTATTCAATCATTACCGATGTAAAGATCATTTTGTATACGTGACTGGAGGGAAAAAATTTTTAAACAGAAATAATAAAACATAATTGAAAAGATTGTTACCTTACAGAATTTAAAAGAATAGTTTAGTGTCATCTTTAGTTAGACAAATAATCTTTTGTATTTTCTTTTCAATCTGTAGGAAGAAAAATAAAAAAAAAAACCAAGAGGAAAACAAAAAAAACCTCATCAGCAATGAAACAAAATTTCCTACTTTGTAATGTCATTTCTGTTTCTCAGTAAGCCCACTTATTTATCCTTTTTTTTTTAAAGAGAAACACTTTTTTTTCATTGTCATGCTGTCATTTTTGGCAGTTTTCAAATCCCAACTTAAACTCCTTCAGACTCTGATGAAGTCATACAATTCTTTTTTCATGTATTATTGACAATAAAACAAATGTTATCTACTTCCAGATGATGCCTCCAAATGAGAAAAAAAAGCAGCACTCCTTTCTATGAAAAAATTAAATACTTCTGTAAGTCGGTGTCTTATACAGACAAGTATTAAATTTCAAGTTTTGTTGCCTTTATGAAAGACAACCAGGGACCTGGTTCAGGTGGCAGCACGGCGGCCTGGTCTCGCCCAAGCCACTCGGGCTAATCAACACACGCAGATACCAATATGGCAGACGGTTGAAAAGCGTTTATTATCCTATCTCGTGGGTTTAAATAGGTTTAGGGGTCTTTGCTACGTCAGAGGGGGGTTGGGGGTCTCAGAGGATAGTGGGTAGTGGAATTTTACCAGAACAGGTGTGGCTACATTCTTCTGGGACTCCTGGGGTTAATGGATAAGTGGGGAAGAGAGAGGGGGGGAGGGGTCTATCTTTCCGTGACATCCCGGTGATCTTCCGCTCTGCCTGTCCCTATCTACCACATCTCCCCCCTCCTTATCACATACAAAATGAGGTAGTTGTAGGTAGAGGCACTGGAGTGAGGTACAGACTTGTAACTTGTTAAGGAAAGGGTGGTTTAGTAGATCAGGGTAGATTTTTCAAGGCAGGTGCTGAAGGCTTTAGCTACTGACTGTGTTTGCAGTTTTTTGGTTTACAGCATTTGTTGGTGGCCTATGAACAGAATGTTTGCCCTTTCCAGACGGGCTTGAACAAACGAGACTAGTTTGTTCAGCAGGCACGGTCCTATGGTAATAGCCAAAAGCAGTATTGCCAGTGGACCTACCAGGGCAGAAATTAAAGTGGTGAGCCAAGGTGATTGATTGAACCAGGATTCAAACCAGCTCTGCTGGGTCTCCCTGTTTCTCTTTCTCTGAGCCTGTCTGTCTCGGAGTTCTGCCATGGAGTCTTTAACGACTCCTGTATGATCTGCATAAAAGCAGCATTCCTCCTTCAACGCTGCACACAATCCCCCCTGCTGCATAAACAAAAGGTCAAGTCCCCGCCTATTTTGTAAAACTACTTCTGAAAGCGAAGAGACTGATTTCTCTAGATAGGAGATGGATTTCTTGATCCTCTGCGGGTCCTCATCGATGGTCATTTGCAGCTGGGAGAGTCCGTGTTGCTGGGTTGCGATGGCTGAGACGCCCGTGGTGGTGCCAGCTGCTCCCAGGCCGAGCAGCATTGCGATAGTTATACCTGTGATGATTTCTCTTTTGTGGAGTCTGTTAGGTTCCTCGAGAAGATGGTATATTTCTTCGTCTGAGTGATGTAGGACCTTAGAAACAATCGGAACTTGGACACAGAAATTGATAGAGTTATTAAACTTGGCAAGGAACATATAAGGATTTACTCTGGGTTTTTGGCAAACTTACATCTCAAATGTGGATGGGACTATTTACTTATTGGTCTTTTGTGGGGAGTGTCTCATTTGCACTGGTGGGGGACACTGGCTGTGGAGTAACTGAAGGGGGTATTTAAGGTAATGCTTTTGTAGAAAAGGGGGTTTAATATCATAGTAAAACTGATAGGGGTTAGTCAGGTTTGATTTGGTTTCATTTAGGGTTAGTAAAATAGCTTCTAAACAGGCTGGCTATGTGGAACACGAAGGATGGGGTATTTATTATAGTGACTTTTTTGAACACTTTGTTACTTGATAGATGCTGTATGACCCACCTAAATAGCTGATGAGGGTAGCGGCTTGGGCCAGCTTGTTTTCCTGGCTACAAGTTTCTAAACAGCAAAATTGCATGAAGAAAGACACTGTGCATGTTTGGATTTCACCACTGTGGGATTCTCAGGTGTTGTCTGGCAGTTTGGTGGTCTGTCATTTCTTTCTGGAGCAGGGGTGTGTGTGTCACTGGGATGGTTCACAAGCGTGCCCTGCAAACAGAACTTATAGCTTTTTATTAGTTTTGTTTTGAGGGTCAGGTTCGGTTGGTAGCAGTGGTGTGCAGCAGTGGCTCTCATAGTTTCACTACGTGGGGGTTCCGACTGCCACAGAGGCAGCACGTCCCTTACATCCCCGGGGGCTTTCTCTCCACTTTCATGGCTAGGGCTACCCCGGGGTCCCGTATCGGGGCGTCTCTTGCTGACCCTGCGGCACGGGTGCCGCTTGCGGTGGGAGGAGGCTGGGTTCGCCCGCGCGCGCCACCCCCCCCCCCCCCCCCCCGTGTGTCCGGGGCTGGGACCCGTATTCCTTGGCGAGACGCCCTTTTTTCTCACAGTTCCAAGGGGTATTGTGACCGCTTTTCGGTGCGGCTTAGAACTCTATTTGGTTTTGTTTTAAACTGTGCTGGTTCCGTATCTTTCGTTTTGGAGTTCCGGCTGGCTCTCGCCGCGCCGGAAGTGAAATGCCAGCGCACTTCCGGGGCTCCGCGCCGTTTTGTTCGGCCCCGAGCTCGCTCCTCCCCGCGGGGGAGGGGCCGCTCCCGCCCCCCCGGCTCGCCGCGCCCCCCGCGGGGGGTGGTTTTTCCCTTATATGGTGGCGGCTCCCGGCGCGGCCACTGATTGGCTCTGTGCTCCGAGCCGCTCTCCGCCCCTTTCTCCCGCGCGCACGCGCCCTTGAAGTCGCGCGGTGTCCGAGTTTTCGCGCCGGGACCGCCCGGGCCCCGCCCCTCTCTGCCGCTCCCGGCGCCATGTTTAAGGCGGCAGCGTGGCCACGCGGCTGTGCTTTCTCGGGCTGCGGCTTCTGCGTTTCGGGCTTTTCCCGCTAGCCCCCGCCAAAAGTGCTCCGCGCGCGGCTGCGCTTCCGGCAACGGACTTTTGACTGGCGGCGGCGGCGGGACGTATCGGCAAGCCGCGGTTTTTCGGGGCTTTTTTGCGGCGGGGGTTTCCCGGGGGTTTTCCGCGGCGGGGGTGTCTTGGGGGGCTTCTGCGGTGGGGCCCGGCGCTGCTCCGCTCGGCGCGCCGGCGGGGAAGCGGCGCGGAACCGCGGGCGGGTCTGGGTTCGGGTCTCGGCGGGAGCGGGGCTGCGCTGCTCGGAACGCGCCGCTCCGGCAGCAGCGCTGCCTCTGCCGGGCTGGGCTGGGCTCAGCCCCGCGGCGGGGCCGGGCTGCGCTCTGATCCGGGGAAGGGGTTGTCGCGCTGAGCCCTCCCGGGTCTCCGGTCCCGGGTGGACCCTCCTCAGGGACGGTCTGCGCTTTCGCCCCCCCCCCGAGCTCGGGTTTAACTAATAAACACGTACGCGCTGTATTCTGCGTCTCTTGCCTTTCTATTGCTTTGCGCGGGGTTTCTTTTACCTTGCCCCGTGCCGTAAAGCTCTTGCCACTGTCTGGGGATTTCTCCTCCCTGGCTAGCGTGGCTGTACACTGTTCTCATATCCCCGGATGCATGGCATCCACTGAGCATTCGGTTGCTCCAAGTTCAGGCAGCCTTGCTATAGCAAGATAAAAGTCCCTGAGCTTAAACGCGATATTCCATTGCTTCATACTTACGACCCATGCGACGCTGCCTATGACGCTCGCGGGTCCGGGGACGTCTCCCCTCGCCAAGATACGGTTAGACCGTTCCGGCCGCTGCTTCTGTCCAGGTGAAACCCGTCCACCGGGCAAATTTTTCTTCTTTTCTCCCGGGTTTCGGCACCAGATATGTTGCCTTTATGAAAGACAACCAGGGACCTGGTTCAGGTGGCAGCACGGCGGCCTGGTCTCGCCCAAGCCACTCGGGCTAATCAACACACGCAGATACCAATATGGCAGACGGTTGAAAAGCGTTTATTATCCTATCTCGTGGGTTTAAATAGGTTTAGGGGTCTTTGCTACGTCAGAGGGGGGTTGGGGGTCTCAGAGGATAGTGGGTAGTGGAATTTTACCAGAACAGGTGTGGCTACATTCTTCTGGGACTCCTGGGGTTAATGGATAAGTGGGGAAGAGAGAGGGGGGGAGGGGTCTATCTTTCCGTGACATCCCGGTGATCTTCCGCTCCGCCTGTCCCTATCTACCACAAAGTTTAAGAAAGAGGTTTTAGGGAATGGAAGAATTAGCATAGACTGGATGAAGCTATGAACTAAAATCTTTGAAGAAGTTATAACAATTTAAAATAAAGAATGCAGCTGATCAGTACAGACATAAAGCTTTGCTAGACTAGTATGGCCAGACAACAAGACTGTCCTGAAGCTACTGTGAAATGCATCATGAGGCAACCTGGTACAAGTAAACAGCTTGGTAGCAGGTAATGAAAGAGCTGAGGTTCCCATGGGTTCCTTTCCTGTCCCTCATCAACAGTGCATGTAAAAATCACTTTAAACACTACCAAGATAATGCTTAGCAGCCCAGCAAACTAATACAGATACAAGGAAAGTCAATGTCTAAAGAATATTTGGACTAATGATTCAAATTTAGTTGTATCTGCTATTAAAAAAAAAATAATGATTAAAAATCTCTTTATTAAAGATCCATGATTCAATTTCTGATGAGCAGAGCTGTTTATTCCTTAAGACAATGCAATAATTGCTTTCTACCATGAAAATTTGCAAAGGCAGATAGACTACTGCTTTCTTCTGCCACACTGTGTGATCCTTTGCTTTTGGGCTTCTGTTTGTGGATTATCCATAAGAGATCTGATAAGGGTGTGTAAAAATGTTTTGAGTGAATATGCCATATGGCGCTGTATGCATGTGTAATGGGGCTTTTAGATGCATCTCAGGAGAAAATAAAAACATTATTGTTCCCACACCAAATAATTTATAATCATTGGTGGAAGAAATTGGATGCAAATTAGCGGTACCTCTGTGATGAGTTTTCAGAGCTACAGTGACAGCCATGCCTTTTCTAATAATAGCAAATCATAATGTTAATGCTAACAAACTCTGAAAATTAATTAATTCAACTGACTTAGCCTTTTTATGGATTTTTCTTTTCTTATTAAGCTGCCTTAATATGATTTAGCTTAATGCATTTTCAAAATAGCTAAATCATATTAAGTTTATTTTGAAACAAAATGAGACTGCCTACCTAAAGACCTTATGCAACTTAATTACCCTATATCATTATCATAGTTTCTTTATAGACAGGATCTTATTTTCAAAGTCAAATTTTGACTGTTAGTGTTGGTTTGATATTTTTACTTTTTAAGTAAGCAAATTTGTCAAGTTCATCTGTAAAAGTGGTTGAAATCGTTGAGATTTTAAAGAAAAAGAGCTTGCAAAATATGTGCTCATACTTAGCTTGAAGTGGTAGGTGCTTGAAGGAAATGCTTGCCTTGTTGTCGCAATTGTAACATTCACCTCAAAAGGATATGAAATTTTCTCCTGTATTTAGAAAATAATTATTGAGGTTTCACATTTAAAAAACATGATTAACTATAATATACTTTCTATAAAATTCTTCATTTACTTTCAGAATTAGAAATCTTAGAAAACAGCAGCAGCAGCAGCACACATTACAAAATTTTTAGTTTGTATATTTCAACAAATAAAAAATTAGGAAAAGGCACATGAAAGCAGCTCACTGTAAATAGTCTTCAATAATGTTTCCCTTCACGTTTCCCTTTTTCAAGAAAAGTAAAAATATTTATATTCTCCATAGTTCAGTTATGGACAGATTGTAACATATAATGCAAGCAATTCAAACACACTTCATAAAGTATTAATTTCTGAAACTTATTACTACAGTCATTCCAGTACTACATTTGACAGCTTTACAAAGAGTATTTTGTGCTCAAATTACTCCATTAATCCTGAATAATGTTCTTTCTTTTTTACCATTTTCAGTTTCTGAGACACAGTAATAGAAATGGAAATAAAAATTGAGCACTGACTTTAGGAGATAACACCTAAATTTTTAAAGTGCAACACCAATTTCCATCAACTGATTTATCAAAGGCTGTTATCAAACTCTGCTAGCTCAAGACTCCTTCATGTTCAGTAATACAATATTTTTTGTTGAGCACACACATGCTCTAGGAAGAATTTTGTCCCAGTCACAACACCTTTACTCTTCCTCAGATTCCCTCATGGTTTATTGCACTTAATAATTCCTTAGTAAGATATCATACTTACTTGCAGGAGAGGATTCCTGAGCAACTACTATTTCTACTATTTTTCTCTCATCTACTCCCCAGTTTTTCCCAGTCACTTCCAGTCTAGCAGGGAATCTTTAACCGACAACTCCACCTTAACTTCATTTTTTCAATATTTTTATAATTAGGGGGAAAAAACTCATTGTAAAATATTCTTCATAATGACTTTTTACATTAGTGACTGATGTATAATACCACTTCATAATGGAAAACTACAGTTATCAAAACATTTTTTTCTCTTAAAGCACAGTATTCCAAACACTACAAATGTACACCTAAAAAACTTGAGTGGGCTAGAGCATTTCAGTTTTGAAAAACTGCACTTTATACACTGCACTGAATACAGCAAACATAATCAGGGAGCCACGCTTCATACAATAACATGTTATTAGATATTTTTAGACTGGTTATTCCCAACTCTGCTTTGTGTAAAAAAGGAACATAATTACTCACCAAGTGTTTCTTAGCCCTAGCTATTTCATCCTTTATTGAATGCTATGAGTGTTAGTTTCCCAAGTACTGTAAATTTCTCTCTTTGTTTGCTTTCTTTGAAAAAAAGTAATTTAATATTTTTTGTTCATTATTAGCTCTGCATGATATGCTCATTCTCCCTAAGCAAATGCTAACTCTAGGTAGAGTGCACCATTTTCTGTAGAAAGCACTCTTAAACATATATATGTTCCTTTAGATAAAGCAAAACTTTATAAAACTAGCAAGATTACTAGGACATTTCAGGCTTTGTTTTACTTGCAACCATAACATTAGAAAACTGTAACAAGCTGTGCTGTTTTTTAATCTCTGGTTTTGTTCTTCCTTCCAAGGTATAATTGATACAGAAAATGAGGGGGTGGCATCTATCCTTCCTTTCCCACACTTCAGCTACACTTTCCCAGCTGTCTTACTTCCTATGTGCATCTGTCTGATTCTGATACAATATTTTCAATAATAGATTCTACTGAACTGTTATAAATGCTTTAAGTACTAACACACAGATTTAATATATGAATATATGTATAGCAAATATACACAAAAAGATTTAAAACAAGATAAACCAAAACACAACCATCATTAGATTTGCAGACTTACAAGCTTGGGCTTTTTTTAAAATAAATGTTTACGTGCAAGGTAAATTCACTTCCCCTTCTTTATTATTTCTGAGAACATAATTAAATGAACTGGGTCTTTCCATCCTGCCCTGGAAATGAGTACAGGAGACTACTGCAGACTCTCACTAACTTTGATTACTTGCTGTGTAAGTGTGTAGTAAGAGAAGACTGTAGAAACAGGATGGTTTTAGTAAAAGAAGTTACAAATTATCTAGAACTGACTTTCTTCCTCTTACTTCTCCTCTTACAGAGTGGTCATATTATTTCCTTTCCTATCCAAGAATATAGAGGGCCAGATGAAATCTCTTATGCCTTTAGGTCCAGTTATATAATAGTTAAAAGAAAAAAATCACTACTGGGGAAAAGCCATCTAGATTTTAATATAAACTTTCTTTTCAACATCTAGTAGTGGATTTTTTATCTCTATTGTTCAGAAACTTTATTTTTGTTTCCAGTATAAATGTAAATACTGATACATCCTTGCATCAACATGGTTTATCACTCCAAATAGAAATTTTTGTCACTGCCATTTTATCTCATGTATACTTAAAGACACTCATTATATTCCCTTAAAAAATTAAATTGTTAAATTAAGAATATTAACATAATTTTCTCTGCAACTGGACATTTTCCTCTGTTCTGAACATAGGAATATTCCTTCCCCGAACAAACAACAATTCAAATTCACTTTTATAACAAAGTCCGGTGGGTTGAATTTGACTCATGATCTGTGCCCTTGTGGTTCTTTTTAGATATAGATATACGTATGTATATCTATATAAATATAGATGTACATGTTTATAAATGAAAGAATACAGCAATCAAGTTCTTTGCTGTACTGCAAAGAAATCCTCATTTATTTTACTTGCCTTGTGAGGTACAACTTGACTTAATAATTTGGTGTCTTCTCAGTTTTTGTCTGGACTTTCAATACTCTATTCACTCCAATTTAATTTATGCAGCTTTCTTAAAATTATAAAATATATGCTTAGTCATAATATCTTTAAAAAGTAAGTAATTATTCTTTTAAGTCAGGGAAAATTCTTTACAAAATTGTTCTCCCTTCTTGCTTGCAATTTAAATTCCACACATAGCATCTGCACATTTGATTCAATCCAATTACAAAACTCATTTAAGCTCCACATTTGACTTCAGCAAGGTTTCAGTAGCTTTATGTTTCATGCTAATATATCAGCAGAATTATAAAATAAATTGTCCTAGTGTTTCTGCTATTTGAGAGACATTTATCTTTAATCCTGACAATTTTTTGTGTTTAGTTATCTAGATATATAAAAAATAAAAAATAATTTGAGCTGAATTTAAAAGCAAAGAACTTGATTGTCACAACCTTTCATTTCAGACTTTCACCTATAAAACCCAATTACATTTTTGCTTCATGAAAACATAATACTGGTGTAAAAGTATAAGAATTCTATTTGTGAATTCAAAATACAGTATTATCTATCCCGATTACTAAGTGACCATGTTAAAGCCTAGGCTTTTTTAGACACAGAAGAGAAATTAGTTTAATACATCTGAGTGAACAATATCCTTCCCTGGTGAGCAGAAGTCCTGAAGAAGGACAGGGAAGAATGAAGATGACTTTCATTGGTTATAGTGTATCACCTTTTGTCTCTGACTGCCTTATTAAAAACAAAGCTTTTAAACACTTTATAAGCAGTCTGATGATGTGCTCTTTTCTTCCTTTCCTTTTCCCCCTTTCCTTTCCTTTTTCCTTTCCTTTCCTTTTTCCTTTCCTTTCCTTTCCTTTCCTTTTTCCTTTCCTTTCCTTTTTCCTTTCCTTTCCTTTTTCCTTTCCTTTCCTTTTTCCTTTCCTTTCCTTTTTCCTTTCCTTTCCTTTTTCCTTTCCTTTTTCCTTTCCTTTTTCCTTTCCTTTTTCCTTTCCTTTCCTTTCCTTTCCTTTCCTTTCCTTTCCTTTCCTTTCCTTTCCTTTCCTTTCCTTTCCTTTCCTTTCCTTTCCTTTCCTTTCCTTTCCTTTCCTTTCCTTTCCTTTCCTTTCCTTTCCTTTCCTTTCCTTTCCTTTCCTTTCCTTTCCTTTCCTTTCCTTTCCTTTCCTTTCTTTTGTTTTCTTTTCTTTTTTCTTTCCTTTTCCTTTCCCTTTCCCTTTCCCTTCCCTTTCCCTTTCCCTTCCCTTCCCCGCCTCACCTTTTCTTTTATTTTCTCTACCAGCCTAACCACCAAATCACTCTCTCTAATTTAGAGAAAGATGCTGTGAAGGACTCTCTCAAAGGCTTTACAGAAGTCTAGATAAACAACAGCAGTATCCATTCCCTTGTCCACTGCTGTAGTCACTCCATCATAGAAGGCTATTGATTTGGTCAGGCAGGACTTGCCCCTGATGAAGGCATGCACAGCTTCTAAGAGGATCTGTTCCACGATCTTCCCAAGCACAAAGGTGAGGCTGTGAGGTCAGTAGTTCCTAGGGTGAGGCCCTGGGGTCCTGTGACCACTCTGGAATGCTACAGGGTCAGGTCCTCAGGTGCCAGATAGCTGAAGAAATGAAAGACTTCCACCAAAGGCAGGTGACTCACGAGTGGTTTTATTCCTGAGGGCTCAGGAGAGGGAAGGTGAGGTAGGTGATGAAGACAAGCAACAGCTCTGAAGGACGACCAGCTCTGAGAGCCCTGAACTAGGGGCGGGACAGGGATTATATCTGTAACTGGGAAGGAGGGTCAGGGTATAAAACAGCCAATGAGGTGAGGGCTCAGGGGCGGAGTAGTGGAAGAATGGCAGGGTCACAACCAACTGGGATAGAGGGAAGGAGTAGCTTCGGGGTGAGAACCAATGGGGATACAAAGAACTTAGAACTTTCCAGAACTGGGGGAAGGAGTACATAATGATGGACAGAAACGAGGGGAAGGGATAACAAAGATTGACAACCGGGGGAGGCGGGAAACTACACGTCAGTTGCCTCCCAGGGCAAAGCAGGGGGGCCATCTACCACACCCCCTCCCACACTAGGGACCTCCTTTCCATCCCTTTTAAAGATGGGTACAGTATTTTCCTTTTTCTAACGCCTGACTTATCTGTGTATGATGTAAGACAGAAGAGCCTTTGCTGATTTTGGGAATACCATAATATAACTATAGTTCTCCCAATGAACTCTTCAAAGACAAACAAATGCATATAAAATACATAACCTTCTTTAAAAGAGACAAACTAAGAAGGCTTTAACCAAACACCAAAAGTAACATCTTCTTGCATATCCTTTTTTCTATATTTATGTTTTCCATACATTCATCAGATACAACTAGTTATCCTGTTGTTACTACCTATTTATTCTTTGTTTCTGTATTCTGGACACTAGCTGCTTAGGACCAATGTGTCCAGTGCACACCAGATTAAGAACTAAAACTTTAAAAAATATCTGAAAACTGTTCTGTGAGTGTATCCCACATAAGAAGTGTTCGCTATACTTAAGAAGGATGACAAAAGTGCTAGGCCTGGATGCAGTGCTTTCAATCAATGTGACAGTGACAGCCCCTGGCTTCCTACCCAGCCAAGTACAGTTTAGCTGTGGTGTGTGAGCTACCAGGTGGCAGACAGAAGAGCCTGGGGATCCCTACTGCATGCTTATCATCCATCATACTGCTCTCCATTTCTCTTCACTCTTTTTAACTTCTGCAGAGAGCAGCATGTAAAACATGTTCTTTACCACGCAACCCTACCCCATTTACAGTTCAGACTGAGAAAATGTAAGAGCCCCTTATACAGGTCATAAAAACCTGTGTCTAACACTTTATTAGCAGCCCAACAGTTGATTTAAAACTTCAGGATCAGTACCACATTTGAAATAGAGGTGTAGGGTTTTTTAATAGTCGTGCTTAATGTCCTGTTCTTACTCATCTTTGAATGGCAAAGACCAAAAAGCAGTAACAATTTGATACGAAAGGTGTACATCTCCCAACCACACTTTAAAAATTCTCTTTGTCTAATTTAGTCAGAATGAAACTAAGAGGTGAACTTATTGCTGTCTACAGCTTGCTGAGAAGTGGAGACAGAGTTGCTGGTCTCTTCTCCCTGAGATCCAGGGAAAGGATGTGTGCAAAGAATGGTTCAAACCTGCACCAGGTGATGTTCAGACCAGACAAAGGGAATAATTTCTTTGCTGACAGAGCAGTAAAACTCTGGAATAGGCTTCCTAGACAGGTGAAAAATGCCCTAATCTTGTCAGTGTTTAAGAGGAATTTGGCTAATGTCTTTAATAACATGCTTTACCTTTTGGTCATCCCTGAAGTGTTCAGGAAGTTATACTAGAGTACCATTGTAGATGTCTTGCAATTTAAACTATTGTCTTCTGTTTTATTCTGTTCTGTTCTATTCTAATCATGCTGAAAAAAAATTTCAATATAGAAAAAACATTTATATAAACAACATTTTAAGCAAAGAAACTTTGCTTAAAATAATATTTAATTATGCAATAATATTTAATCAATAATTCAAATACTCAGCTTATTTTTAAAGCCTTCATATATGCCATAGTAGAATGCATGGATTTCTTCCATGTAGAAGAGTATTTGTGGGGTTTTTTTTCTTATTTTTGAAAAGCAAAATTTAAAATCAAAAGCATACTGACAAGTTTAAACTTATCACAATTGCTTGATATAAGTGTGCAAATTCCAAAAAGTACAGAGCCAGGCTCTTTTCAGTGGTGTCCAGTGGCAAGACCAGAGGCAGTGTGCACAAACTGACACTTAGGAGGTCCCTCTGAACATCAGAAAACACTTTTTCACTGTGGGTGACCAAGCACACTGATACAGGTTATCCAGAAAGGCTGTGGAATCTTCCTTCTCAGTTAGGGGCTTTTATGATATTCAAGAGCCCCTAACCATGGGCCTGAGCAATTGGCTCCATGTTACCTTGCTTGAGCAGGGAAGTTGGCTGAAGTGACCTCCAGATGTAATCAAAAGGGGGCCTCTTTGTTTTGTTTGATTCTCTAAAATCATGTAAATTTTTGTGCATTTTTTTCAGAAGAAAATAATAATACTTAGGTTGATTTTATTGTCATTTTTTTAAACTTTAATTTTTCTCTTTTTACTTGTGCAGAAGTTAAGAGAGAAAGTTTCTCAGACATTACAGTTCAAACCCTATACTGCTTTATTATCAGTCAATGCTATTCATGACTAGCTGCTCTTCAAATTGCAGTAAAGATTATGTTTCTTTACTTTTGGCATAGGAGAATATGAAAGAGTTTCTTTGCCTGATTTTCCAAGAGAGACCTGTATAATTATGAATACAGAATATGAAGTCTGGATGTGAAGTCTAAATTCAATGTCAACATTAAGGTCTCTAATGTGGTTTAGACAGTATTGTAGCAATTCTTGCCTCTGGGATATACTTTATACTTTGTAAATGTATGTATGCAAAAAAAAATCAGTTTCCATTTTCCAACATGAGTGTTAGCTGTTTCCACTTACAACATTTAATTTTGTATTTCCACAGAACTACAAGGAGTATTTGGTAAATGCTAGAAGGCTCAAATTAAGTATATTACATAGAAACTTATATTTTCACTCAAAATATTACAACACATAAAAAAACCCCACAAAATACAGCATTTATATTTGACATTGGCATTTGCTAATGTTCTTTCAAAATGTTATTGTATAAGTAAAATAAGTGTAGTTATAAATTTTAGTTGAATATGCGCGCATACTCACAAAATTATGAAATACAGAGATCTGAGTGAAAAGTAATTTATGCTATACAGACTTTAGATACTGATAATATTGAAAGTTTAAAATATTTACAGTATGCACATAGCTCAAAAGTTTTTGTGAGACTATCCTCAGTTGGAGGGTGGTGAGGCACTGGAACAGATTGCCCAGAGAAATTGTGGATGCCCCATCCCAGGGATTGTTCAAGGCCAGGTAGGAAGGGGCTTTAAGAAACCTGGTTTAGTGGAAGCTGTCCTTCCTTGCCCATGGAAATGGTTTGGACCTTGATGACCTTTAAGGCCCCTTCCAACCCAAGCCTGTCTATGACTCTATACTTAATATTAGAATTTTCAAAGTGTTCTTCTTTGAACTAATTTTACCTTTTCTAGAACAAGTATTGACCCCCTGAATTTGATAGGAATAAAATATAGAATTCCATTTGAAGCCTATTGGACTTGCACACATCTTGGACAGAGGTTGGACCGGTCTGCCTGGTTCTACAGGAGGGTTTTAAACAGGACAAAAAAAAAAATACAATGATCTTTATTGGTAAAGAAGGACATGATACATTGCTGGGTGGTATAGTTCTGTTCTGGCATCTATCTTAGCATAAATTAATCTATGACAATTTTCAGAAAAGGCTCCAATAGAGTCATGTCAAATAAAATTATTTCTGGGCTGTTTCTGCATGTTTCTACCCAATGAAAAATAGCTGAATTGTAATCTTTCAGTCTAACCCATTGTTCTGTTTGAAAATTACAGAACACTGAAATGTACTTTTAGACTGATTTGAGTTTTCTGAGAATTTAGAATTGTTTTGAATTTGGGTGTGTTTTGTTGGGATATTAATCCCCTGCAAAACTGAGTGGAGCTATTTGAAAGAGAAAATGTCACAAGACCTACAGTTTCAGTTAAAATAATATGGTTCAAATTTTAACAGCTAAAATAGTCTAATAACTTATATATTTCACTTTTATTATACTGTTTTATGATTTCATATTATTACTTAGAATTTAATTATTTTTAATTTCTATTTTAAATTATGTAGGCTTTAGAAAAAATATTCATATATTTTTGAGTCATGAAGAAATTTAGAATTTTCCCTGTTTTGATTTTGGGCAGTTGAAGTGACTTAGGGTTTTTTTGTGTTTTGGTTGTTTTTTGAATGAAGGAGTAAATTAAAGTCTACAGGATAGCTTTTCTATTATAGTGCTGTTTTTGGAATGTTTTTCTGAATGGCAATTATCAATGTATCTGCTCTTAGACAAATTGTACCGTAGTCACGGTAGTTTATTGCCTTCAATTTTTGACTTTCAAATTCATAATCTCTTCATTTTGAGATATTTATCCTTGCTTTTTCTTATTTATTTCTTTGCTTGTTAACTTGCTTGCTTGTACTGGAGACCCAGATCTGAACTCAGTCCTCCACCTGTGACACTCCGTGCTGAGTAGGAGGAAAGGTTTGCTTCCCTTGGATGCCTGCTGGAAACAGCCTAGTGCAGACCAGAGTGCTCTTGGTCCGGTTTAACCAACAGTTATTAAGTGACCTTTAACTACTTGTTCAAGGTTTTAGTTCTTTGGAGACATTATTTATTCTGCTAATTTTGCCATCTGATCCTTACCTAAAGAGGGTAACTTGCAACCTTTCTGTCTGAACATTGTAGTAACAGTAACGAAAGAGTTGTCCCAGATGTCTACTTCATTGCCAAGGAAGGAAATAAAAGATACAAAAGATGCTGTACCATGGCAGGAACAAAAAGTTTCTTGTTTAGGACTAAGAGGAAGAGGCAGGAAAAAAAGTCCAATTCTGCCAAAATTTAGATAGTTCAATAGTTTTGTTAGTTCATTTACTAATAAAATACTTCAAGAGAAAGTATATTAATTTGTGAAAAACAATCACGTAAACTCAGA